TTCCAGACCCCATTTCCCATCTATTTTCTTGCTTACAGTCCCCATATTTTAGAAAAAAAACTTGAAAAAACCACACCAAAAGGTCAAAGTAACACACCAACTGATGATAGTACTTAACAGAAGACATAAAGTTCGTGTGTCATATTTCTATGTAGTTGCAAAATTTCAACATAACGCCTTACACTAATAAATTGCAACATTATTCGTAAATCATTGGGTAGTACCACTTTCGGTAATGTAGTATTATTTCCTCCTAGATTCTTACTTGATGAATAAATTATATAGAGAATTGTTAAGTGTCTTTCTATTATTATAATGTCTGATAAGAATAAGTTTTGAGTTTATCATGTTTATACTTGAGAGCATCGCCCTTCTCTTTTCACGAAATTTACTTTCACTGATTTACGCCGAGCGTAAATTATCTGTACCAAAAAGACTTGCTTGCATACGTATCATTTTGATTATTCAGATTAATTAAACAACAAGTAGATGCTTTGTCCATAAGATAAAATGTTAATACTTACACATAAAGAAACGTAATGCTCTTTGATACAACTGTCTTACATTTTTATTTTGAAATCTACTTTCCCATGTGAAACGTTGTTTTAGCTGGAATTACTACGTTAAAACATGTAATATCACGTTTTTTATTTTTTATTTGATTGTTAACACATAAAAATGGAAATGATATACACATAGTTAATTTGTAAGAGTTCACAAGACTCGAGCCTTATCACGCCTCAAACACTTTGCTCAAAATTATCGTAAGCACTGGCGTTGTTGTTTCTTTAAGAAAACGCTTGAACATGAGTATTTTATGTTTAAGTATTATGAAAGTACCAAAAGGGTTTTCAAAATGAGCATGTATTTTGTTCGTCTACGATTCTTGACGTCTGCCATGTTTTGTGACGTGTTCCAGAGGGGTTACCAGGGACGTGGCGGCCCGAGCCTGCGGGAGCAGACAGATGAGTACAAGGCTACCCTGACAACCAACGAAAGTGACGCTGCTAAGGTGAGTGGGAAGTGGGTGCTTGGTGGGTGCTCTGGTTTGGTTTGCTCCTTCTTTCCTATCAAACATCTATTGGTTTTATCGCTGTTCCTTCTTTTTTTTGGGTGGGGTGTTTGTTACTCTCTTGTATCACCTCTAATCTTCGGCATGTATATGACCTGGTTGCGTTTCCTTACTCTTACGTGGGTGGTTGGCGGGTGCTCTGGTGTGGTTTGCTCCTTCTTTCCTATCAAACATCTATCGTCCTTATCTCCTCTTCTTCTTTTTTATGTTTGTTACTCTCTTGTAACTTCTCTAATCTTCTGGCGCTCACATGACCTTATGCAGTTTCGAGCGCCATAAAACCTCTACTAAAACAAAACTAAACTTAGTCTTACGAAAGATGAGTGGGGCAATTGCACGGTGTTTTTGATGTCCATATCGACACAATTTAGGTCATCTGGGAAGTGGGTTTCAGCCCTGCGTGTCAGAGCCAGCACAGGCTGAGAGATATAAAACTTCCCAGCAGAAAGACAGATGAGATACCCGATAATAATTTTCCCCACAGGGGAATCGAACTCGGGTCTTCTGCGTAAGACAATGAAGCGTCTAACCGCTTCACCACAAATGGTCGGTAACAAGCGGGCTAACCCAGGTTTCAGGGGTTTCCAGAAGTCTTGACCTACACCAAAAAATGGGCATTGCTCTACCTATGGGAGATGTTTGGTTTCATTGGCGTATATATTTATTGTTTGGTTATAGAGAAAACTCTCCTTGTCTTTCAAAGAAACTGAACAAGGGGGCAAAAACTTTACCGTCTATTTCCTACAACCAAATATTGGTTTAGGTGGATGTGAAAAATGGATGAATAGATGAATGAATAAACAAGTGGTTAATGGACGATCACACGAGTAAATACATACTCGAAATAAAACGTACACAATAATCATTGCTTGAATTGGTAAGTGAATGGATATAATTATTATATTATGCAAATACAGTCAAACCTGCTCTAACAGCCTCCTGTATTAGACCTTCACCTGTGCAAACGCACATTTCCCATTTCTTCCTTTTCGCTTAATTTACATTATAATGACACTGTGTAAGACAGTTACTTGTCTAAGACGGCCACTTTTCTCCTCGACACGATTTGTTGACCGTCTTAGACAATTTCTTCAACTGCAGTTACGTAAACGAATACATGAATAAATAAGTAAATGGAAACAAGCATAAACGAAGGAGAAAATGAATATTTAACGGGCAGAGGAATGAAAGAAAGAGAGGAAAATAAATTAGAGGGTATTTGTTTGTCATGATCATTTTTTGAGAGTTGTACTTCAGTGGCCAGTGGTAAAAAGTTTTCCTTTATCACAGGGAAGAAAAGTCTGTTTACTTCTGTTGACATCGATTATATCTCCCCATCTAGTCTTGTACGAAAGAACACAAACCAACTACCATTCTGTCTTTATATTAAAAAAGTAATGCTTCGCAGTTTGTTACAGTTATCTGGCCTCCACCCTTCTCGACACTTCTATTTTGGCCAATGCTCCCCTTTGCTCACTCTACAGTTATTTACCTATTTGATATTTCTTGTTCCTCCTGCGCTTTTATCAAGACTGACTCCCCCCCCCCCCAAAAAAAAAACAAAAAAAAAACATTAATTAAAAAAATAAATAAATAAAAAAATAAAAAAATAAAAAAATAAATAAAAAAATGAAAAAATAAATAGATCTATATCTAAATAAATAGATATATTTTTTACAAAAAGTTGTTAGTTTGGATTAGACTGCGCGTTATGATTTTAATCAGTTTCTGGGATGAATAGGCGCTGAACATTGATCTTGGCGATCTTGAAGATTCCTGCGTACCGGACATCGATGGTCAGTCGGTTCTTGTTAGGAAAAACTTAAAGAAGTGGGATGATCTAGATATAAAACCGTATTCAGTGAGTATTGTTCAAAGGTTTTGTTCTGAAGTATTTCAGTTTCAAGAGTTCTTGAGGTGCTTCGAATAGTATTGCATTTTAAATTTTCAAGTTGCATTCAACAAATTTGATTTTCTGGTACAGAGTTCATGAAGTTTTAATTGTTTATATTTTCATTCTCGGGGTACTCTTTTAAATAAGTGAGAAGTTAGAAACGAGTTTTCTCAAAATTATTTTGGTTTAAAGTAAATGATCTTGAGTATTTTAATGGGACCTCCGCTTGTCATCAAATTATGGCAGGGCAGCTACGATGCAAATATTTTTGTTTCAAAAATAGTATTGTCTTCCCAATTAGCTCATAGCCAAATTTTGTAGTCCCCGTGCTGACCCACTAAATTTTATTACTCACTGTTTGTTTTTGATAAGGTCTAAACCCTTCTAGCTGGACTGCAGGAACAGGTTAGTGTAAAAATAGGGGGGGGGGGGGGCAAAAAAGGGGAGGGGGGAGTTGATCTGATGGTTGAGTAATAAGCAAAAAAGAAAAAGTAAGGAATGAGGTAGATATGATACATCGACGTAAATATCTCACGTGCATATCTTTTTTTCACTCTTAACAAATTTACGTCTCCTACCTTTGCGCATTGGACTTGATTACCCCCCCCCCCCCCTCCCTTTCCAACCACCCTTTTCCCCTGGCCATCCGCCCATGTCCCAGTCAATCCCATAGGGACTATATGGGTGAGAATAAGTAAGTATTCTAACTCAGTTGGTTCTGATAGATTTGGGTCTTTGGGGGGGGTGGGGGGTGGGGTGAGGGGAGGGGTTTGCGATAATATGGTGGAAAGGGTAAACTACGAACTTGTCGACTTTAAGAAAAAAAGCAAGTTAAACTTACAATGAAAAGAAAGAAGCAAACTAAACGTGGCGTATATTGTTCACCAGCTGCAGAAGATCAAGGAGAGGAACAATGAGTACAACCAGTTCCTGGCCAGCAAGGCGGAGAACCAGGGCAGGAAGAGGTCAGGACAGGTAAGACAGGCGCGATCCCAAACCGCTCCCTCAGAATTACAAAGTTCTCTCTCTCTCTCTCTCTCTCTCTCTCTCTCTCTCTCTCACACACACAGTTTTGGCCGTTTTGAGTTACTATGACCATGAGATTAAAAACCAAATGTTTTATCCCCTCTAGTAAAATCTTGAGATAATTCTGAGTCGTTATCAAGATATTCAAAGAAATGCTTTCGGAAAAGCTTGTCTTGATGTGAAGCTTAAATGTTTTTATGTCGAATTTCTCAAGCTAGGTACTGAGCAGATAGAACTTTGTAATTCTGTGGAAGCGAAATGTTATGACAGACGTTGTCATGTGCACTTTATCTGGAATACCTGAAGGTGTCATATCTGACTCAAAGGTAGACGTTTATGGACCCTTCTTCCTTCACGGTCGCGAAATCCCCTTGTACTTTCTGTTATACCCAGGCCTGTCCATGTTTTAACGTTTTCCGCCCATGTTACTCTTTGTCTTTCCCGGGCTCTCCTGCCCCACATCCTTCCTTGAGGAACCTCTTTCACAATGGTCTGGTGCCGTTTTAAATGACCAGAGTATTGTTTTTTTCTACATTGTGTACTTTACTCATCGATTATTGTTTGAAAGTTGGATGGCAGTAAGAACATTACTAGCGTCTGTGGTGTAGCGGCTAAGTGCTTCGCTGTTGCACGCACACAGGAGTCGTGTTTGATTCTCCTGTGAGGAGAATTTTTATCAAGTATCTCCCGTCCGTCTGTTTACTGGGACGTTGTATCCCTCTCACTCGGGGTTAGCCCTAATAGGCAAAATCGAAGAAGCCCGCCTCTTATATGATATAAATAATGTCGATGGGGGCGTAAAATGTCTACAATTACAAGAAAAAAAACTTCCTTCGTCCCAGGGAGGAGTGCTCTTAAATATGACGCTACACAACCTCGAAATCACTGTTTGAAAAAATGAATACAAACTACCATAGTGTCCAATCTCGGAGTCCAATTCAATCGGAATCAAACAGTATTCTAAAAACAATGTAGGTTTATGTATCACTTGGGCGTCCTAAATCTTTGGTGTTAATGGAATCGTTGTATTTTCGGGGAGTTAAAAAAATATTAGTAGTTCCTGAATACTGTGCATAAGTATATGTCTATATTCTATTTTTTTTCTGTATTAACGCTATTTCATTATGTCACTCTACCACTATATCAATCTCTGTCTCTGTTTCTGTCTCTGTATCGGTCTCCGTTTCTGTCTGTCTGTCTGTCTGTCTGTCTGTCTGTCTGTCTGTCTGTCTGTCTGTCTCTCACAAATACACACATACCCACGTGCACTCACAAGACAACACAACCCTCCGGGGCAGTGCCACTGACTGTAGTGTCTTTTGGCCATTCCCAAAAGGGGGACATTTCTCGTTCAAGCTCAGTAGAATTGTAAATGGGCTGATTCATCATGTCTCGCTCATAACTGTGCCTGATCTGCAACAGGGAACTGCTGCTTTTTCTTTCCTAATCCTTACTATTGTCATTTTCCTCTACTTCTTGTGTATGTTCGTCATTCTCTTGTGAACTGCTATTTCCGGGGTGCCTTGATAGTCGAAGCAGACCTTGTGCTGTTAAAGCTAGAGAGGTGAGCAGAATAAGTCTGATTCCCTGTAAGGACTTATCTGTTGACACCCACCCCTTGGCGCTCATATGACCTTATGCAGTTGCGAGCACAGTAAAACCCTCTACTTAAAAAAGACAACAATGACACACACACACACACACACACACACACACACACACACACACACACACACACACACACACACACACACACACACACACACACACACACACACACACACACCACACCACACCGTGACACGTTTGGATGCAGATACTTAAAATCGACCGCTTACTTTCGCAACCGCATACGCACTCACGCACAGGTACTTATTATAGAAACACAAACAACCACACGGTTCTTTGTGCCTCTATCCTTTCGTTGTCTGTCTCCACCCAGTTATTCAGTCACTTGTGTTTGAATAAAAGAATACAGATAAATAAACAAACAAACAAACATACAAACAAAAACTTCCGACCCCCCCCCCCAGACAACTTCAAAATAACAGAAGAGAAAAACATAGGCTAAGAATAAGAAATTCTTCTTCTTCTTCTTCTTCTTCTTCTTCTTCTTCTTCTTCTTCTTCTTCTTCTTCTTCTTCTTCTTCTTCTTCTTCTTCTTCTTCTTCTTCTTCTTCTTCTTCTTCTTCTTCTTCTTCTTCTTCTTCTTCTTCTTCTTCTTCTTCTTCTTCTTCTTCTTCTTCTTCTTCTTCTTCTTCTTCTTCTTCTTCTTCTTCTCCTCCTCCTCCTCCTCCTCCTCCTCCTCCTCCTCCTCCTCCTCCTCCTCCTCCTCCTCCTCCTCCTCCTCCTCCTCCTCCTCCTCCTCCTCCTCCTCCTCCTCCTTTTTCTTCTTCTATCCCGTGGTTGGGGCACCGTGGGGACACCACTGCATATTCTGAAAACCAGCTCTCACCATCTATTGTTGTCCTCTGCTTTCCTCAGATTGTCACCCATCGTCTTTCCTGTCCACTCTGTAATATTGTCCCCCCATCTCCTTCTCTGCCTTCCTCTCTTTCTCTTTCCTTGTACGGTTTCTTGCAGGATTGTTTTGGCAAGTTCTGTGGATCTTGTGACATGCCCATGCCATTTTAATTCTCGCCTCTTCACTGTGGTCATGCCCCACTGCGTTGGTGATTCTCTTTCGTACCTCAGCATTTGAAACGTGGTCTTTTTACGAGATGTCAAGGAGTCTGCGGTAACATCTCACCACTGTGGTCTGAATCTTTTTCTCTAATTCTAATGTTAGTGTCCACGACTCGCAGGCGTATACAAATATTGAGATGACCAGTGAGCGCTTTAGTCTGATTTTTGAGTGTGTGATGTTTCTGTCCCTCCAAATAGGCTTCAGTTTTGACAGCGCGGCTGTTGTTTGCGTGATATAAGAAATTACGATATTATTATTCCACAAAGTTAATTCTAGATTTATCTCTATCGTTCATCCAGGAACAAGGTACTTTCGCTACTCTGCCGGGCTTGCGGTATTCCAATTCTGCTCAGGTAAGTTGTTGTATGCTCCTGACCTTTGATTGACTTATGAAGTTGCACTGTTGGACGCACTACTCTTTCCATACGGACAAACGCGCAACACAATCTCAAGAAGGCATTGCTACATATCGAAGAATGAAGAACGACTCCATTCTTCTTGTTGGTTACATAGTATTCCTATGTAATCTACTTATCATCAGGCTTTCATGTTGTTTTTTGGAGGGTCGGAAAAAAGGGGGGGTAGAAAGGGGGGTGAAAGGAATAGGGAGATATGTAGGGCATAAACTAAAAGAGTAGCGCAGTAATGACGTGTGTGGTGTGTGGTGATAACTTTATGTTCAGTTTTGCATGCATTTTCTTGTTTGCTCTCTTCTGAGTGGAGTGCATTTTTGGAGACATGATTTCAGTTTTCGGCATCCATATAGCCGCTTATTTCGAATCTATTATGCAATTTCAAGGCTTTCCAATGGTAGTCTTATTCTAAGACGAAGATTGTATTCTAAAATATATTCAGAGACTTGTAGGGATTTTTTTGTTCTGAATTATATTGAAGTGCATTTCTGTTATTGCATTACACTGAGCTATATTGGTAGAATTTCTGATAACTTTGATATTTAGTACACAAAGGATACACATGGCTATGTGTACATTGCCTTGATTTCATTTGGTTACTTTTGAGGACGCTTAAGTTTACTTGTTTTACTACATGCCAATGGAGTTAAAGAATTTGGGGAAAACGGACATTTAGGCTAATTCTTGGTATAGAAAGGATCCCTTCTGAATTCAATGGTTATTTTTTTTGGTTTTTGTGTGAGTTTGTTTACGAACTAGACGTGCCATGTGTGAAACATTTTTTATCGTTTTTTGTTTTTATCCCTTTGAATACTTTTTTCCTCATATGCAGAAGGTAAGAGAGGAATATCCTTCGATTTTTCTTTCTCTCTTTTTCATCATTCGAGATATTACAAAAGAATGTTTTTGTATGCCTTGAATTTTTACATTATTACATCATGTACTCTTTTTAATATCAGTTATGCATCCTAGAATAGATTCACAAGAGTAAGTCTAGCTACCCGTAGTCCCAGCATTAACATTATTTATTTCGCCCAGCGGCGGTCTCGGGTTGTTTGTCACCGTACAATATGAAAGAATGTCACTTGGCGTTGGAAGCACCTAGTCGCTGAATCTACCTAAACTATTCTGTTTTGCCTTTTTTGGGATGAAGTTCTGTGTCCGGTACGTTACAGTGTATAGGCATGCGTCCATTTAATTATATTTTTCTCGAAATCTCAGTTTCTTGGTTAAAATCCGAACCTGCCCCAAACTCCCAAAATGAAAATTAGACGGACAGACATAGCATAGAAAAAATAAAACAAAAGAAACAACACCCCCCCCCCCCCCCAAAAAAAAAAAATTTTTAAAAATGACACAGCTACAGACCTGTTGCATCGCGCATTCCACCAGTGGGCGTTGAAGAGCATTATAATGCCTTTAGCTATTATGGCGCCTGGCACCCATGACTCACCCGTATGCGGGAAAGTTGATGTTATATCGCCCTAATGTCACAGAAGATAGATGACGTTTTTAACGCATATTTTCTTTGCTTCTATCACCCGTTTCATGGAATTACTCCATAGTTTCTGCCTGTTAACGACAGATGTATACAGATGTATAGAGTTCTTTTCAGTTTAGTGTAGACTTTGTCAATGCTAGAAAACAGCGACGGCTTTCTCCCATTAGCGCTAACGGCTTATATTATGTCTCGTATCTCAAATCTTGGCAGACCAAAGGTTTAATCCTGCTTGTAGAATTGATTGCATGATTTTGATTGTGCCAAGATGTATAATATTTTTCACTTTATACTGTTTACTGTTGTGATGGTGCGGGAAGTAGATGAAAGTCAGTGACTACGTTTCTGTTTTTTTAAACATATTTATATTTTCGTCTATAGTCGTTAGTATAGAGAATTTATTTTCTAAGTCTTGTTTATCGAATGCAACTGTTACAAGGAAATGCTACCAGGAGCAGACTAATATTATTCCAATTATATGTAAATCGATAGTGAATTCCGTTATAAAAATTATTTTTCTTAATGTCTTTTCCTCAAGTTTAAAGAGTTGGAAGGTTTCCATACGATAATAATGGCATGCTACTTTCTTCGTTTTTAGAGTTTAAAAAATGTTTCCAGAGAAGTCGGTCTTCGGCATTCTGAACTTGCAGAATCTTTTTGGATAAGATTGTTTTTCACGACTTTGGCAGGCAACAGATCAAATAATTGTACCAGAGTCTCTCGATTACTCAGAATAGCATCTCCTGGTCAAAACAGCCTGACTTTTAAATTATTTAAATTGTGTCGACAAGGCGGTGTTAAACATTCATTGTAATCCTTGTTAGCCTTTCCAGAGAACTGACTGACTCTGACCAAGTCCTTAGACTACCTCTATTTGTGGTTTTACTTTGGACATTTGCTATGGTGGGGGGGAATGAGTACATTATCATATTGCTTTTACGGCTCTGCAGGGACAGTTGTTTTTTTTTTGGTGGGGGGGGGGGGGGGTTATTTTGCTTCTTTTTTCTTTTAGTATAGCTGCGTTGACAACACTGTTTCGTTTTGTTTTTTTAATTTATGGTGTAATACCCGTAGTCATATATATATATATATTGTCTCTCTATATATATATAGAAGACATGCAGTAGACAAAGAATGGAATTGCACTTTGGAAACATTCTCTGGAAGCATGTTCTGTTGATTGAGAAAACTTTCTTTGCACTATGGAGTTTTCCTGGTATATAAATAACTCAGTTGGTATCTAATTAGATTATGGTACAGATACAGTAGTTGTTCGCATCTTCAACATGATTTTTAAAACCTTTTGTTGTTTGTTAATTTTTCATTTTAATCCGCCCTCGTGGCTGAGTCTTGTCGGGTCGGTGACAGGCATTCATTGAATCAGAGGTCCCTTCTGTGTAAGACAGCCTAACTTTGTTGGAAAGAGCTGGAACAGCTCATTGTGTAATCCCAAAGACTGTTTGATAGATCTGTTTTAAGGACGCTGCTCGTGATAGCATGACCCGTTAGCTCCTTACGCTGGAAATCCTAGTTTTTATTTCGTTTCTACATTTGCATGACGAAGCTTTGTAAAAATCTCTTTTGCATGTATATTTTCATATAAGCCTCTTTAATTTAATTGTTTAACTTTCTAACCTGCCATTTTACATCACTTCTTTGTCACTGGTGGTGCAGGCGGACGGAATGTGTAGACATTCTAAATTCTCACTCTATTTCCTTGACAGAATGGTGACCCCGAAAACTGTCATCTTTTCCTTCTCTACACTTCTGTCTGTTCTTTACTGAATGTTGTGTGTCATCTTGGACGTCTCATCTCTGTGACTTTGACCTGGGATATGTCAATAATATATTGTAGTGACACGGGGAGTGGAGGAACGCCAAGGGCACAAGTCATGATTATGTCTTGTGTGTACCCTGTGCTGGGGTGTAGTAAATAAGACTCTCTCTTGCAATAGGCCTGAATGTAAATGTTCGAGATGTGATCGTTATAAAGTTTTAAAAAAGTATGTTCTCTATGGATAGTGTGTAAATGACAATAAAGTATTCTGTTGCTACCTGACAGTTCTGTAGTTCCTGTACAGTTCTAAGTACAATACTATTTGCCTAGTTTTCTTTGATAGAAGCTGGATCGTAAAGAAGAGTTTCTCGTTGAACTTTTTGGCCCGAGTGAAACGATCTTTAGGAGGTGGCGAGGAGCTGAACCAAATTGTTCTAGCAGGCCTAGGGACTGCCTGCATAATCAGCTATTTAAAAAGAAATTATCCTCTGATCACATAACTGATAACAAATAAGAAAATATAAATGTCTTGGTTCTCATTCAAATTTTAAGCTTTTGAAAGACACTGGTAATAATAACTGTCTCTGGAGACAAGTGTGTGATACTCTATCTCACCTCAAGCTCCCGTGCTTCCCTAAAGACTTAGCATGTCTTTCTCTTCCATTCAAGGCTACAGCACGTCCATCCTTATTGTGTCTGCCCATTTCTCTCTCATTTTTAATGTTAACCTGCCATTTTCTAGTTGATGCTTTCATTGCCGTTTGTCCCTTTGTCTGTGTTTTTGTCTATTGTTTCCTTTTTCTGTCCTTTTGTGGGGCAGCCCTTGCGTTTTGTTCTCTCTAATCCAAGCTCCCCGGTTCTTTCTTTCCGTTCGTATTGTTCCCCATGTCTTCCCTCTTTGTTTCTTGAATGAGTTTGTCGTTTCGTTTCGTAAACTTCCTTTGCGGTTTCAAACTGTCAAATAAAACAAAACTCAATAACACTCGTGCTTATTGGCAGTTATACCTCCTGGTCTCAACTCGACTTTTGCCTTCTTCTAAAATGTTTTCACTCAAAATGGATGTGATTTTACCACTTTAAATGCTCAGGGCATCCCTTGCTTTCCCATCTGTCTGTCATGTACAGCCCAGAATGAGCCTCCCATGTTTCATTGACTTTCATTCAAACTTAACGGATACCAGGTATTGCCGTTTTTACTGGCTTTCTCTCTCTCTCTCTGTACTTAATCGATAACAGTGATATAATATTATTTCCTTAAAGGAAGAGCAATATGACATGCACTTTCCCTCCATAGAATTGCCGTGACATATTCTGATAGTTATTAAACATATATTTTCAAAAAGAACCTGCCCTTACAACAAAGTTTCTTTTTTTCCAGCCGTGTGTTTGTTTTACCAGACATACCGTGTCCTTGTGTGTGTCATTTACACAACGTGTCTGCGTGTTTTCATTAGGAATCTTTTTGTATTTCGAACTGTACTTCTTTTATTAGCAGAAATGCCAAGACAATAGTACTGATCGTATTGAAGTGAATACCGTCATGTCCGTCTCTATGTACCCAGAGAGTCAGTTTTGGAAAGCTAACTTAAAACGCATGCGTGCAATTTAATAACACTTCATCGTTTATTTATACATGTTTTGATGATTTACGTCTGAGAAAAAAATAAAATAAAAAATAAAATCATGTGGTTATTTGGTCATTGTTCTTTTTGGAAACAGAAAAGGGAAATGGAAGATGAGAGGAACAAGGAGTACAACGAGCTGATGCGGAACAAGATCCAACAGGTAAACATTTGGTAATAGTGATAGTACCAACAGCTGCAAAGGGTCAACGGTGACGAGAACCTCAATTGCATATAATGATAACGGGGATAATGATAATACTTTTAATAAAATAATGATATTGCGATTATATCTAATGATGATGATGCCTTTCTAGTTGTTCCCCTTTCTCTGGCCTTTCCGATTTGTGTTCACCGCACCTTTTAGCATTGCGACGTGGGTGTATGTACTTTGGTTTCTACAGATAGTGTAGTCATTAGTTATTTACATTATTTTTTGGAATGTTCCCGAGGAAGCCCGTGGAGGGGCGTTGAACATGTTATAAAATAGTTTGAAAATCCTACCAAGTCTCAACTTTTTAAAATGGTGTATGCAATGATGATGACGATGATGATGATGATGATGATGATGATGGTGATGGTGGTGGAAGCGGCGGCCTTTCTCTCTCTCTCTCTCTCTCTCTCTCTCTCTCTCTTGG